GTACGAGTGAAGTACGACTGAAGTACGAGTGAAGTACAGTGAAGTACAACTGAAGTACAGTGAAGTACGAGTGAAGTACAGTGAAGTACGAGTGAAGTACGACTGAAGTACGAGTGAAGTACGACTGAAGTACAAGTGAAGTACAGTGAAGTACAAGTGAAGTACAAGTGAAGTAGGTGAAGTACGAAGTCTCGCTTTTTCCCCCTTGAACTGAACACGCTCTTTCAAACAAAAAAAAAACTAAATGCCTTTAATGAAGTCTCACGGACAATTTTAGGTTGCCATTAGTGTCCTGCAATCAAGTCCAGTATCCGGTACCCAACCTGGCCTGATAATTAGTGATATTAACAACTGAATCACTTGTTTTTTTTAGCGAAATTTTAGAAGATTCTTTTATTGTTGTTTGTTGCTGTGGTTAAAATAATAGTACATTTTGTCATATGAAACAAAAGTTTGAAAAGCATAGTATGACTATGAAAGCTCCTGTTGGATGTCAATTACTTCTGATCGAGTGTCAGATACTGTTATTCGGATTCGGATGCGAAAAGTCGTACTCGGACAGGACACTAGTTGTCATATATGCTATTTTAGATTCTTTTTCCTCATTTGACAACTCAAAATCCTCTGCGGAACTTCATTCGGACCATTAAGTCATTTTTTCGTTTGACAGAGCCTTTTTTTTGAAAATTTTCCTTGGTTATGTGTAGAAAAGATTTGACAAATTGAGTTTTCCTGGCCAAGATTGATTCCATCTCTTTATGGGAAAGAAAAATTCTTCATACTTTATTTTTTTCTAGGCTAAAGTTTCATCCGGCAGAGTATCTCATTCAAGTAATATTCCAGTAATTAATTTAATTTTAATTGATAATATTGATTCATGTAGAATAACATCAATCACATCACCATTACATTTTTTTTATTCAATTCAAAATAAAAATAATTTTAAACAAATCTATTATAGTATTAATGAAACGTATCTTGAATGAATATCATGTGATCGTATGGCACGTTTAAAACAATTTTTCAATCAATATATTAGATGTTGTTCGAAATAATCGTGATAAACGTTTTTATCTTGTACAAATTATTAATCATTATCGTGCATGTAAAACACTTGTTGTTCTTTGTTTTGATTTTGGGGAATAGAGAACTATACAAGAAACATTAATTTATAAACTTATACTTGAATATAAGCCCATAGACTTAAACCATTCCGTTCCAGGAGAGGTTATGATCGATCAAAGTGATTTATCTTCATACGTTCGTTGATTTTCCTTGCGTCTGAAAAAAAACATTATTTCATGCTGGAACGTTTATGATTACAACCAATATTCATTCTATACTGAACAAACTTTTGCATTGCCAACAATTTCGAAAGGCTTTCTGTAGATATATTGATAGCGCATCATTTCATATACTTGATAGTAAAACTCATAAAATATTTTTATGACAAAAAGAGAGAGCAAAATGATAATTTTTTTAAATCTCAACCGGTGAATTTCCGGTTTGGACCGGTCCGGTTCCAGTTTTGGTCAGCGAATCTGTAGGATGAGCGCTATGTTGTTTATTAAACATATATTCAAGTCGTCTTCATTTTACATGTTTATTATTCAATAACGGCATGAGGCTATATTTTTTCGTTTAAACTCAATAAGAATTTTTTAAAAATATCTTTTGATAAAACACAGTTAACAACTAATGACAGCTGTTGATATCTTTCTGAACCATACATAGAAAATAGGTATATTATGGACTTATGGATTCAAAACTTTTGGATTCATTCTATATGATCAGAACACAGAATCAAATTGTGTGAATAAAAAGAAAAACATAATAGACTTCTAAAGATTAAGGTTTTTATTGTTATAGATAATACATCTAATTGTGAAACAAATATGAATCGAGTAATAAGTCCATCTTCGAATGTAAACTTAAAAAGTAAGTTTGTAAAGAATTCATGAACTTGATAAACTTCTTACTTTTTCTAGAAAGAAAATTGATGTA